AAAAAAAAAAAAAAAAAAAAGAAAAGAAAAAGAAAAAAGAAAAAAAGAAATCACTTTGGATCTTTACCAGAACCAGCATCACTTATGTGTGCACACTCACACTTGCTGCTAGCTTGCATCTGAGCAGAATAAGGCCCCTATAGTTTTCTTTGCTACCGAAGGCTCTGGTCCCACCATGGGGCTACCTTCCATGTGCCTAGTCTTGTGCCAAGAGCCCACAGGATTTTCCCTGCCCTCAGGGAGCTGACAGTCTAGTTTGGAACTGATTAAATAACAGTGCAGAACAGCTTATAATTAAGTCCTTAACTGCATTGTTCTGACACGGAGTACACAATAATATCATGTGGACTGGGGGTAGATCTTGTCCCTTCCTGGGGTCTCTTTCTCTCCAGAACAGCACCCCTCTTCTCCCAGGTAGAGAAGAAAAGTGTTTGACTGTGGGGTGAGGAAATCTTTCTTCAACTTTCTAGCTGGTGATAATTTTCTCAGGGCCTCAGATTCCTCTCCAGAAAGATGAGGCGCCCGTTGGCGTCCAGTCTGCAAACTTCTTGCCCTGGGGCTTCATGGAGGAGTGGAGGAGAGATTGGGCCCTGCAGAAGAAGATCCGAACTCTTGAGTGAAGGAAGAGGGAGCCATTGGTTGTGGAAACCAGAGATGCAAAGTTGGTTGTGTTTGTTGTTGTTGTTTTGAAGTAAGAAAACAGCAAGCTGAGAGGTGGTGACGCACAACTTTAATCCCAGCACTCAGGAGGCAGAAGCAGGCAGACTTCTGGTCTACAAAGCAAGTTCCAGGACCCCCAGAGCTGTAACACAGAGAAACCTTGTCTTAAATAAATAATAAATAAATAAAGTAAAATTTAAAAAGAAAGAAAATAGGAAAAAAAAACAGAGGGAAGGCCACCAGAAATGTGGCGATAGTGGGTAAACCACAAGAAGCTGGTAAAGATTGTTTGTGGGACAGGCAGCTCATGAGGTCGCTCTCTAGAAACAAGCAATCCAAATAATCAGAAGGGGCAGGAGGCCACCAGAGGTGTGCTGATGTGAGGCACTGAGAGGCCAACAGAGATGGACCCAGGGAGATTACAAAAGCAGAGACTGTTGTGGCCCTTGCATAACTTAAAAGAGTATTGAGAGCTTGGTACACTCTGCACTGACAGTGCTCAGGAACTCACAGAGCCCGAGGCAAAACCAACACTCAGGTCAGGGCATAGGGCCCCGCCAATGAACACAAGCCCCGGGACTTGCCTTGATCTCGTCTTCTGTCCATAGGATTACAGCTATGAGAGATGTAGGTATGCTAGCATCAGATGCCATATCCCCTAGGGTGAACAGGCAGGGACAGCTTCTAGAGGCTGAAGGGGAAAGGTGAAGCTATAGGAGTTAGGCAAAGGGACATCTAAGAAGAAAGCTGGCTGAGTCAATTAGCTAGACAATTATAAGAAACATTTGCAAAGCAGTTTTGAAACTAAAGTAACCTAAAGGTCCCCACTGTGACGCAGGGTACAGTTCACTTTAAAAATAAATAAATAGATGTAGAGCCAGTTGTGTTCTATTCCTATGCAGGGCCTTGTCCTCTTTGGGGCCCATTTGTATGTGACAGGCTGAATGTGGTAATGAATTGTCATTGAGCCTGCCACGACTGGTAACGAGTGGCAGGTGGCATTGTTCAAAGCAAAGAGGGTGAAACCCTCCTCAGGACTTCTGTGTCTGGTGACTCAGGACGAATACATGTCCTCAGAGAATAAGGACATCTTGACATTCAAGCTCTCTCAATTTGTGTGTGACCTAGCACCTCACACCCCTACACCTTGAGCCTATCTCGTGAAAATGGAGTGGATTATTCTACAGTGGAATGGCCTGGAACTGATTTCCTCTGCTCTTCTTTCCTGAGTTCCACCACATGAATGAGAGCATTGACAAGACTTAACTGAAAGGGCCAACTCCAGACATTTCTAAGCGGGAATTTCCACAGGGAGGACCTAGAGGGGCTCAAGCTACCCTGGTCTAGTTTAGGACGTCCTGTGATGCCACGATGCCACTCCTGTGCCACAGCCCATCCTCTCTTGTCATGACTGCCCAATGCCCTCTGAATTCCAAGGACAATGTCTCATGCTAAGTTGTGCCCAACATCGTGCCCAGTGCTGACAGGACAAAAGAGAACTGCAAGTCTCTGTTTCCCTTGGAAGTGTGTGTCCCCCTGGTGTAGCCTGAGTACTGGGGAGCACACAGAATACTCTGGAGAAGGTATGCAAATATATCAAGTATCATTAGGCCCGCTGAAGCCACTACCTCTGACAAGGGCAGGTCATATTTCACTGACATCATCCCAAAGGCCATGCTTTGCCCAGACTTTGAGCTAGAGATGACTCTAGCCTAGAACATACTGGACTTTCACTCTCTGCTTCCTGATGGGTGGTCCTGTCCTACCTACCTACCTACACACACACATACATACACACACATACACACACACACACACATACATACACACACACACACACACACACACACGCACGCACACACGCACACACGATAAACATAGCCTCAGCTAATCTGTAATTCTCTATGGTTTCCCTGTAATTTTTTCCTAGCAGCATCCTTGGCCTTGATATTGCCACTTCTATATTCCGGGGGAATCAACTGATCCTTTAGCAGGCCCCCAACAATATACAGCTTCCTAGGAACCTCACATGTTGCCAGAACAACTGATTCACCCATCCCTGTCTGCCAATCCCCTCCCCCTATCTGGACTGTTCCTCAGTGTGTCCCACTGTAACCCAGGGCTGTCCCCTGTCAGCTCAGCTTTGCCTACACTCCTGTTAGTGTCCCCGTCACTGTGCCAGAGTTGCTGTTGTGCTCAAGCATCTGCCTGGGTCTCTTCAGTGTTAGTAAATACTGCTCTACTCACATCCACCATGACACTAGAGATTCCTTGAGAGAAGAGGTACTCCCTTTGATCATCTGTCACTTTACCAAGCCTATTGCGGCCTCTCAGTCACTGTGTGTGTGTGTGTGTGTGTGTGTGAGAGAGAGAGAGAGAGAGAAAGAGAGAGAGAGAGAGAGAGAGAGACCCACAGACACACATTTGCAGGCCATTCACACACAGATCTGTACGTTCTCACACCCCCACGTTGACATAGACACCATGTCAACATCCTTCAACCTCTGTGAGTGCTCACGCCCTCAAATGACAATCCCTACATCCACATCCTGCCTGTCCAACCCCAGACCAGCAGGGCTGCCTTTCTGCCACCTGCCTTGTACTCTGTGACATTTTCCACCATGTCAGGAGGCAGGACAGTGGCTGACATCCCCTGAATGACTGAGGAAATTTGAAGTCCATGAGAAACAAACGATCTACAGCTAACAGCAGGCCAACCTTCTCCCAGCAGATGGCTCTTGACACTGGCACCAACACACTCAACACTGCTCTCCCCTCCAGATCACCAGATTTCAGGGACAGAAAAGAAGCAATTGTATCTTGTCTGGAGCTTGAAGGTGATCATCGTATGCAATATCACCTTCTTGCCTTTGAATAAGCCTCAAACTCCTGCACTATGCTGCATCTAAACCACTGGCCCTCGGTTATCACAAGCCAGCCTCATGCTCCTTTTGTGTGAGGGGGACATAGAAGAGAGTAGAGGAAGGGCTTGGCAGTCATTTGGTAGAAGCAACACCTGGCTGGGATTTGTGGAATATCTGTGGGCTTCGTGATCTAGGTTCTATGAGATGACAGATGGCCTGCCACCACTTGCTCCAGAAACCACTCAAAGGTCACAAGGCCAGGATGGGACCACTGTGAGACTCACTACCCCAGGGACATTCAGTGGGAAAGCTCATTTGCTGTAAAATGGGATGAAAATGGCAAGCAGGAATGGTTAAGGTTTGAAGCTAGACAACTGTAAAGGGCTCCCCAGCACACAGACATCTGGACTCTAGGGTCAACGAGGAGGAACAGACATGGGTCTGCCATAGAGTGGCTTCTAAGTCTTGCTTATGGATCTGAACACCTGCAGAGCTCTCTGGGTGAGTGAGACAGGGCCATTGTGGGGCCACAGGCATAAAAGCAACAGAGCCCCAAAGCAAAAGCAGTGGTGACACTCAGGAACAAGGCTAGGAGGGGCCCCACAGGCCTGTAGGCAAAAGGTAAATCTCAGAGAGAGCTGGGGAGCATCAAGGGAAGAGGCTCCAGAAAAGGGGAGGTCGAATCTGTAAAGCAGCCCCGCCCTCAAACTACTACCCTCCAGCACATACACACAGACAGACACAAACACACACACACAGGCCCCACTGCAAAACAGCTCAACCCAACCCCCCATGACCTCCCACAGTGGTTCACCTGGCCTGGCCCCAGAATCCCCCAGGGCCTAGCCCCTGATCACTTCCCACTGTGGGCTTGTGTGGCAGACAGCTCTCTTTTTGCCTTCCTAGGGCCACACCTGGCAGAGCCTGGTACCTCTGGGTTCCTGGCAGGCACCCAGCTGGGAACATCCTAGGTAGCACACACTCAGGTACCCAGTCAAGGGACTTTAGGTTGAAGGTAGATCTCTTGGAGAAATGGGCACCAGCCAGACTAAACACAGACCATTCAAAGCAAAATCGGACACATAGATCAAGGAGAACAGATAACTCCCAAATCCCAGCCAGCCATTGCTACCACCAAATACAGGAACTGGTGGGCGCTAACCTGGCCACTGAATTCCTTAGTCTCTCTCCCTTCTCCATCACTGCCCTTGGCTACAAGACAGAAGGAGGCCCCAGTGCCCCCTGACTGAACAATGAGAAATCTCATCCTCCAGCTCTCCTGGGTTCTCTTCTACAGAGGGTAGAGACAGCTCCTCACAGCAATGGGCCCTGCCCATATGGACCAAAGTCCCAGGTCCCAGTGGTCCCTCTATCCCAAAGCCTCTCAAGCCAGCAGGATCAGCCACTCAGCAAATACTTCTCCAGAAGTAATTGGATGTGATGGAACGAGGGCTTTTCAGCTCCTGAGCAAAAGTCTCTGGATGTCATTTAATGGCACAAAAAATAAAAGGCTCAGGCCTCCCGCCTACCACTGCCAGGACATCATTAATCTCTGCAGAAGGCATCAGCGCTTCTATCGCTGCATTCAGCCCTGGCGAGTCAAACAAATTACAGACCTGAGCCAGGCTCTCCATGGGGTAGTTATTAGTTTGGACTTGAATTTCTGTTGTTTTCTTCAGAGCCACCATCCCCTGCTCTCCCAAAAGGGAGAGCAGAGCAAGGCCAAGGCCAGGCAAGGGGCTAGACACCTTGGATAGATACAAGTCACTTGCCTTGGGGAATCAGGCAGCTAAGAGCCAGATGTCTAGGTCCCTGTGTTGACTGCCTGGGGCAGGAGGCCAAAGTCAACAGCTAAGAGCCTGGTCTTCTCCACCTTATCTGAGTGGGGGCTGTCTCCCTCAGCCTCCAGACCCCACATCCCAAAGTTGAAAGGACCACATGGAAAGTCAGATGGAAACTCTTTTCACCAGAATAGGTCTAGGCAGCACTGACCTATGATTGCTGGAAATCTGAAAGTAGGCTTGCCACAAGGACTATAAGCATCAGTGAGGAGCCAGCTACAAAGTTGTTCTACTAGACTAGGCCTCCCTGACCAAGACTGGTTTAGTTTTAATCCAATGTTAATTAGCTAATAATCAGAAATTCACTGAGGTCAGGAATGAAGCTAGATAAAGCAGCTCCCACCACCTATGCCTTCGAGAGGTTCAGGGAGGCCCTGCACTCAGAATGGACAAACTCTAGGAGATGAAGTGTTCATCTCATTCCCCTGAAGCCTGCAAATGATATGCACACACACACAGCTGCCATTTCCAAATTGCAAAAGCCAGACCCATGGACTCGTGACTTAGAGTGCAGAAAGTGGCCATCAGCATCTACCACCAAGGTCATTCCAAACCTGCTGGCCATAGCATTCCCCAGGAGTAAAACTCAGAGGAGTAGTCCCTCTCCTGGATGCTGAAAGAAAGGATCTTTCGTCTCTCCTACCCTTGGTGCCGAGTGTGAGGTTGGGTATATGGTGTGGTTCAAATTCCTCCAGGCTTTAGATAGCATGCCTCTTGCTCCCCTCATGCCCGCCCTCCACAACCAAGTTAACATCAGCACCTTGGCCAACCTCTTCTCCATCAGTTCTTAGCAGAAGCAGTGGCCTCTGGGAAAAGCTGCTATGACTGCTTCTGTGGGATGAAAGGCGTGCCCTAGGGTTGTACAGAGACCAGAGTGCATATGACCTGTGTAGTTCTGCCGTAGTACCGTGCAGTTAAGCCTCTATGTGGCTGCCTCCAGGCAGCTCAGGATATAAACACCAGAGGCTGAACTCACCACCCCGCCCTGTCCCAAGAAGAATCCTGATGGCTACCAGGGTAGTGGTCCCGCCCTCTTCCTGCAGCCAGAAGACAGAGCAGTGCCACACAGGAAGGGGCTTTCCTCTGAGCAGTGACCACAGAAGCCACAGCTCTCCATTTCTCTCCACATGCCCCTGAGGGCCTGACTCACCCCTCTTCCTTCTAGAGCTTGCTCTGGGTCAGTTCCTCCTGCCCTCTGTGGCAGGAAACTAGTGGGGGTGTGTAAGGAGTCCCTGCTGAGCCAAAGGAAGAGACAGCAGGAGACTATTAGCCTGGGTCCTGGCTTTATGGAGCTGCTGCCCAAGTTGCCGAGAACCATAGGTTGTTAGAAATATGGCCAGGAGGAGCCTAACTACCTCAGGACACTCTTGAGTTCACACAAAAGACAGCAAGCTGCCTAGTCAGGTTTGGCCAGCTCTGCTCGAGGGGAGCCAGGCCTCTCTCGGGACATAGGGGATTTCTTTCCACCGGCTTGCTCTGATCTCGTGATGGGTTTCAATTCCCTCATTGCCACCCAGGCTCCTTCCTGTCATACTCAGTAAGGAAAGGAGAAAGCCACCTTGTCCCCTCATAACTACCACACACTTCTTCCCCCAAGATCCCTTCTCTTCTGGTTTCCAACACACACACACACACACACACACACACACACACACACACACTGGTGGTGGGGGAGGCACACATGCCCATTCACACAGAAACACACCTGCGTGTGCTTTCCAAGGGCCAGATTAGCTAAAATTTCTTTCTAGCCAGCCTGGCTCCTGGGGTACAGGGGTTCCCAGCAGGCACAATGTACACAAAAGAACAGTGACACAAAGCCACACCATGGAATTGTCCGGTGTAGCCAGAACCTACCCATGGGTCAAGCTTGCAGCATCTCAGCCACCTTCCCAAGAGCATAAGCTCTAAATCTACAGCCCTTGAGGCTGAGTCAAACATGAAGTTACTGGAATAGTCACAGTGACATGAAGTAATGCATGCGGTGCTCCTGTGATAACACTGGCTCCTAGGAAATACTACAGGGATGTGCGCTCATCTTTCTGTTTGCATTGTCATCATTATAGCTTTGGGGAGTTGGTATTGCAAAAAATGTTCTGGTCCTTTCAGAAGATCTTTGAAACCTTACCCGGTAGGGGGCAGGGAGGTAAGTTGAGAAAGAAACATGGTAAACATCATCTCATCCTCATAAAAGCAGCTGTGGCTATATCCGGGGACCACCAGTGGCCTATGACTCTAAGGTGAGTCTGTGCCGGGACTTCCAGGTTGCCAGCCTCACGTTGGCACTCTTCCATCTGGATCTCAGTGACAACTGGTCTCCACAAACCATGGCATATTGGTCACTGCCTGTCTGGTCTTCTGGCTGTGAAGCCTTCTTTGGGTGTTCTTCCATCCTAGAAAGATTTCTTGAGTTAGTCTTCCCCCTAAAAGAATAAGACACTGTAAGACACACGTGAATTACAGTTATCCAAATAAACAGGAAAAGAAAAAAAAATTAACAGTAAGTATACTCCATGAAATAGGTGGGGAAGATACACAGCAAATTACTTGTTATCTGAAATCCAAACCTACCAGTGCTTCCTGAACTCTCCCGGCAACCCTCTAGCCAGGGTGCTATGCTTGAAGCTCAGGATTTGGAAAAGAAAGATGGGAACATACCTGCAAACACTTCCCTCAACTTCCTTCAGTGCCTAGAGCTGTACACTTATTTCTCTGACACAAGACCCCTTTACTCTCATCACAGGACGGGTTGGGTTGATGCACCCCCCCCCCAGAAGCCTCTGACCTAGGCATTGTAGAGGACTCTCCAGCCCTAAGCAGGGGACATGTCTCCCATACTTGATCCCCACAGAGGATCTAAGGGCAGCCCTTCTCTCTTCACCTTAAGGAGGATCTGTGTTTTGTGGGGTGCTTGGTGCTTTGGGGGGGGTGTAAGAACGGCAATAGGCTCGCACCAATCTCAGCTAAGGTGAGCAGTATCCATGCCCCTGTCATGTCGGAAGACCTTCAAGAAGAGGAGGTGGGAAGGCCAACATCCATCTACTGGCTCTCTCTACTTGGGGTGAGAAGGCAGCAATGTATATGAAATAAAAGGCTCTGGGGAAGGAAGCCCGAGGTGACTTTAACTCGCTGCGCCAGGTCACCATCACCCTCTAGCAAGCCGGCATCTAACTCTGCCATGTGTTAGGAGCTCGACAAACACCCAGAGCCTCCTAAAGCTATGACCCAGAAGATTCCCCACGCAGTATGTACTCCCTAGTTCAGTGACAAAGAGTAGCTCTGTCCACTGAGAGATGACCTCTCCCCGCCAGGCCATCTCAAGTCTATGGTTATCTCTTACTGTCTCTCTGTGGTCTGTCTGTCTTTCTAGCTTCTTGGAAACTGGAAAAATTTCTGCAGGACCACAAGCTGCAGAGTCACGAATCAAGCACCCAGTACATGACTGAACATGATGATACTGTGCTACAATATTACAAAATGAACGAAGCCAAAGGCAAATCCAGTGAAACATAACTGTTCACTGAGCTACCAACTTTACCTTCCAGGTGTGTGCCATGTCATGGAACCTACTACAGATGGTCACGGGACATAATATCCTCTTGGTAACTTCCAAATTAAAAGAAAAAGTCACCCAGGGCCTGGCAATTTGATTCCTAACCTGTATTCCTTTGAAAATTAACAAGGGAAGGGCTAAGGGGATGGCTCAGTCAATAAAGAGCTTGCCTGGCAAGCATTAGGAACTGTGTTGGGATGCCCAGAACCCATGTAAAAAGCCCAGTGATGGGAAAATAAGAATCAGAGGCAAACAGATTTTCCAAAGCTCACTAGCCAATTGCCTAAGCTACTTGGCCAATACCCAGGAAGCAGAAGCAGGCAAATCTCTAGGATAGCCTTGCCTACAGTGTGAGATCCAGGAAAGCCAGCCAGAGCTAAACAGTAAAACCTATCTAAAAACCAGGTGGTGGGAGGGAGAGAGAGAGAGAGAGAGAGAGAGAGAGAAATCAAGAAGGCAAGAGGGGTGGGGGACACAACCCTGTCTTAAACAAAACGTTGACTTTGCCTGAGGAACAACAATGCTTGAGGTTTTCCTCTGACCTCACATTCATGTACAAACACATGGGTGTATGCACACACCCCCATATGAACATACACACACCTGAGGAGGAGTAGGAAGAAGAAGAAAGAGGAACAGGAGGGACAGAAGGAAAGAAGAAAAGAAGACAAGCAAGGAGGACTGGACCAGCGTCTAGGCCAAGGTTTGAGGATTCCTTACAAATGCAAGTGAGTCAGGCTGACAGGCAGGAGACCAGGTCCCAGGGACTGAGCTGCCAAATCATTCAGCTATGGCATTGGGGAAGGAAAAAATGGTAGTGAAAATTGGGGTTTTTGATCATGTGCCTTTCCAGCTCCAACAGCCAACAGCCTTCATTTAGGGAATTTGGCTGGCACCATGCTAGACACAGGGCAGACAGAGAGAGAGAGAGAGAGAGAGAGAGAGAGAGAGAGAGAGAGAGAGAGAGGTGCTTCTCTTGTTGAGCTTAATAATCTGGGGTGGGGGGTGTTAAGCATCAGATAGTCCCAATAAAGTTATAGCAAACTATGATAGTGTTAGAGGCTGTAAAGAGGACCTGGTTTCTGGTAGGAACACAAGAGACCAGCCTGTGGAAGAAGTGCTGTTTGAAGCTGGAGCTGGCGTGTGGGGTAGAGATTAGTTCAGTGACTAGAAATGGAGGCAGGGCGTTCCTCAAGAGCTTCCCCAAGCTGCTGGGGGGAACACATGTGGCATCTTCCAGAAAATGAAAGGCCAATAAAGTAGCTGGGAGGCAGCATGCAAGAAAGACTTTGGCTGGATAGGTAGACAAAGGCCAGGCCAGTCCTTTATAGTTTTGAATTGAATCCCTTACAAACAGTAAGAAATTATGGAATGGTAAGTAGATTAGAGAAAGACAGATGACAGAAATCAGATGAGGCAACAAGAATCCATGAGGAGGCTCCTTGGTGTGCATGGGGAAAGGGTTTTCATCATCTGAGGTCCTTAGATTCCTTTGTATGCTTCTTGGCTTTGCTGCATTCCTGTTCCTCTCACATGCAGTAGGAACCATAGCTCCTTTCCTCAGCCACTTTCCCCCCACCCTAGTCCTCTCTACTTCCCTCAAGACCCCCTCAACCAGTTTCCCTCCGAGAAGATGTGGAGACCTTGGCTGAGACACAGCTCCACTGGTGACTCATGTACACTGTGCTTTGAGATCTCTAGATGAAAAGGAGCAGGATGAAGCTAGCCATGCGGTTATTACCCTCTTAGAGGCATGCGCCACAATGCCTACAAGGTAGAGGGGTCTCAGCTGACCCTTCATCCTGTGGAACACATTCTTAACTCATTAGTTAACTTTCAGTTGATGGGATCTGAGGAACGCAACGGGGCAGAGCACTGACTCTGGGCCTCGGAAGAATGCTGCCCCTTCCATCACTAGGTTCGGATCCCTGCCCAAAAGAATAGGAGCAAATTCTTTATGTTCTAGCAGCATATGAGATGCCAGCCCAGGGCAAAAGGAACCTCCCGCTCCCTCTACCCCACCAGGCAAGCCTGTAAGCAGAGCTAAAATAAGAAACAAAAGGAAGTTTCCATTCTCAGTGTCATGGAAGACAGCCACAAAAGGGACTTTTTGGGTTCCATGTTCCCTGGAACCTTCTCTCCATAACCCTTACCATGCCAGGTGCAGAGTGTAATTGGCAGCTCCAATTGGTGCCCAGGACTAGGATAAATAGAAGGTTGGCTTGCTGGAACAACCCCAAATTGAGACATCCTCCCTCTTCTGCTTTTAATTCCTTGTGGCTAGCATGTTTATTTTGGGGTGAGGGGAAAAAAATCGGATGTTTATCCTTCGAGGAAATTATCTGCTTGCTTTCTTTCCCTTTTTTTCACCTCTTCTTTCTTTTGCCCAAGAGTTTTAGGATTGGAGTTCAGCTCCATGAGGGACCCCCACTCTTCAGGTCCTAAAAGGTGAAAAACACAGTTGGCTCAGGCCCTATGCTAAAGCCAGCCCTGTCAGAACCACAGGGGAAGGCCCAGAGGTGGAGGGAAAACCTCAAGTCCAGGAGGGCAACCTGTGGGGGTGCCTAATCTTGACTCAGCATTTTACCTGCAGAACCCCGGGGGCCTCACACCCCTTTTCACTAGCTCCACCAAGAGAAAACAAAGGCATGTAAATTGCCATGCAATATAAGGGAGGGAATGCAGTGTGATCCTTTACACACTAAAGAGAACTGACATCTTAAAAAAATCATCATCATCATATATTACTTACTCAACTTGCTGCACACCATGCACTACATGTAAAACATCAGATGTTTTACATGCAACGTTTCATCTACTGTATTCCCACCCTGATTCACACTGCTGTATTCCCACCCTGATTCACACTGCTGTATTCCCACCCTGATTCACACTGCTGTATTCCCACCCTGATTCACACTGCTGTATTCCCACCCTGATTCACACTGCTGTTTTCACACCCTGATCCACACTGCTGTATTCCCACCCTGATTCACACTGCTGTATACCCACCCTGATTCACAGCCTACTTAGTTCTTCGTACTTGTTCTCTCATGTGATTGACACAACTTAACGATGCAGGTAGTAGTCTCATTTTATAGATGAGGAAACAGAGCCCTACTCTCTTGATTTATAAAAAGCAATGGCAGAATATTATATTAACGTAAAGCCTCTCATTGCAGTATCCAGAGGGAAACAGAACTCTTTTACTCTCTAGGCGATATAAAATAAAGTCTGGGTCTTTTATTCACTCGGGGGCTTGACTGGGCCAAAGGGGAAAAGGCTGCTAGCCCTCCCAGATCTTTGCGGAGAAAGCTAGGGCCTCAGACTACTCAAGGCAGACAGGCTGACACAGACAAAGACCATACCACCACTCCCTACCTGTCAAAGGCCACCTTTTCACCACGTCATCACTGATTAACTGAGTCTCCCTTCTGTATTCCCCCACATACACCTGTGTGATAGCTACTTGTAGAAAAGGTAGACAAGTGGAAAAGGAGGGAAAGCCACCTAGGAGGGCTCAAGAATAGTAGAGATGGTAGTGGAAGTAGCCAAGGTGATGACGGTGGTGGCAATGGTGGCAGTACATCTTACGTGTTAGGGCTAAGTAGCCAGAAAATAGAAGGAAAGCCCACCCCCTCCAAGACCTAAATTCGCATGGATATCTGCCACACGACAATCCAGTTACCTTGAGCAGCTTAACTGTTTCAGACCTCTGTTTCAAATGCAATAAAGAATACAATGAAAAGCTGCGGAGGAGGGGCAGGGGTAAATGACTTCTTTCTAGGATGGGTTACAACCCTAAATGAGATAACAGGGCAGATACTGGAGCGAAGTGTCTGGCATTCCAGCTATTCAACAAATGCATGTTTTCCTCTTCTTCTTCACGGCCTCCACTTCACCTGTTCTCCCCAGCTCAGCCGAAACAAGCAATGAGCCTCAGACCAAGGAGCAACCTCCTCCAGACAAGAGTCCTTCCTATCAGACCTGTAAGAGCCTGGGCATCCCAGGGAGAGGGCCAACTAGCTAGAGAGTTTGAGCTCCAGCCCAGCATCCTCCTCCCAAACTAAGAAAACATTGGAAGGCTTGGATCAGGAAAGACACCCAGTTCCTTAGCAACTAGCAAGCATTTCCCAGTAAAGATAAAGATAAAGACCCTTCACTCAGAATATCGCCCCCCCCAAGCCTCTCCAGGTGTCTAATCTACTTTGAAGGAATGGAGTGCAGAGCCATCCGCCTCTAGGACCTTACCCCCACTGTCTTAGCCATCTTAATATAACCTGAGACAATTCCAGAACACATTTTCTCCTCTGGTAATTAACTTTTACCTCTGCCCCCCGCCCAGTAACTGCTGAGACACATGAGATGTGTACCTGTACACACACACACACACACACACACACACACACACACACACACACACACACACACACGCACTCACGCATGCACGCACACACACTCAACGCACGCACTTGTGTATGCCCTAGGCCAATATCTCCCCTTCTGAGACCAGCAAAGAATCAGGAATAGAAAAGGGGATGAAAAGCTGCATACTTCCTGCTGCAAAGGAGCTGTTGGTGGGCTGTTCATCTCTGCCATTCACGGCTCTGTTTTCCTGGGCAAGTCAGCCACCCTCTCTTGGCCTTTGATGACCCTGGGATATCCCACAGGCAACATCTATTTCAGAGGCCAACTAGGCAAAACCCAAGCAGAGGAAGCCTCATAGTCACTTTGGGGACCCAAGGCAACACAGAGAATCATTAGCTGGAATCCTAAGTCAGGAGCAATGGGTTAAAAGGAACAAGATAGAGTCTGTCAGGAGGGGACCCAGCTGCCCTGGGTTCCCACTTTCACATTGAGTCTCCTGCTGAAAGCAGGAAAGCATGCTTCCTGTAGGGCCTGAGTAGCAGCCTGCAAGCCTACATGCTTTCTGCTTCCCAAGACTCCCTCCCACCCACAGGAATAGAGACAGACAGTCTTGCATGTGCCCTAGGGAAACCCATGGGTGGCAAAGTCACTGCCCAGCCCACCAGTTGTGTGATTGTGAAGTCTATCAAGAGTTGAAGCCTCAGAAGAGAGCGGT